TTTTTTTTCACGAGCGGCCCCAAATGCATCCACAGGCCACAGCTACATTCAACGTTTCCCTGCACGCGGTGTTATGGTGAAGTGACATACAGCGTCACCGGTTGAAAAAAATGACTTTGGTGCCCACCACCTCGTCGTCGTCGTCGTCGTCGTCGTCGTCGTCGTCGTCGTCGTCGTCGTCGTCGTCGTCGTCGTCGTCGTCGCCGTCGCCGTCGTAACCCTTTCGAGCCATGACCTTCTCTCCCTTTTCGTGTACGGCCCGCCGAGGAGCGAACAGACCGGTGAACCTCGCCGTGACCGTCCGGTGATCCGCAATTATCGACGGTCCCGTCAATCCCCACAGTGATCCGGCGCAGCCGCAAATTATGTCATTATTTGACATAATCCGTCGCGCCAGGACGACGAGGCCAAGGAAATTGACCCCCGAGAGAACAGGAAAGTCGTGTTCTCTTTATATATTTTTTTTAACCTCCATTGATACGACTCGCATTTTTCGCGGCTTTTTTTTCTTTCTTCGGGGTCCTTTTCTTATTATTCCCGGAATGGTGATACCTGCCACCTCCGGTGGGGATGGGACTCGTCCCGGGATGCGCCCAATTCCCCCAATTACTCCCGTTATTTCGATGCACTGTTGAAAATTATTGTGCCGATGCGAATTTTTATGCGATTTTTATTTTTGTTCCCTTTCAAAAGAATTTCGTATTACTTCAGATCAGCAAAAATGTTTATCGTGACGAGAATCTCTTCACACAACAGCAGTTACGTCAAGGAACAGCATTGTGTGTGTATATTTAAGCTACGTTGCTAACAAAACTAACTACAAAAGTGTCGTAAATTTGCGATAAAACTTTTAAACAGTGTGGCTGGTTCGAGGCTGCAGTCCTAATTGAGGAAAATTCTCTGTTTTCTTCCAGAAACTACGACGACGTCACTTCACTCGCCACGGACACGATTGAACGGCCGTCTGAGTGTCGTGCAGCAGGACCAACTGCAAAATCAAAGCTCACCCGGATGACAAGCCTTGTTAGTGGTCTTGGAGTGTTCTCACCAGCATGGCCGGGAACCTTCAGACCAGCACCGGAAAGATGGTGTTTGAGTGCACATTGTGCGACAAGAAATATAATGAAAGTGGTTCTTTCTATAAACATCTCCGAACCCACCCGAGTTTGAAGCCTTTTGAGTGCACATTGTGCAACGAGAAATTTACTGAAAATGCTCTTCTTCGCACTCATTTCCGAACCCACGGCGACGAGCCTTTTGCCTGTACTGTGTGTGGCTTCAAGTCGAAGCATAAGGCTAGTCTGCAGTTACACATGAGAATCCACACGGGCGAGAAGCCTTTTGAGTGCTCTGTGTGTGGCCAGAAATGTTCGCAGAAGGGTAATCTGCAGACGCACATGAAAACTCACACGGGCGAGAAGCTTTTCGAGTGCTCTGTGTGTGGCAAGAAATGTTCGCAGAAGGGTAATCTGCAGACGCACATGAGGACACACACGGGCGAGAAGCCTTTTGAATGCTCTGTGTGTGGAAAGAAATGTTCGATGAAGAAACATCTGGAGACACACATGAGGACACACACGGGAGAGAAGCCGTTCGAGTGTTCAGTCTGCAACCGGAAGTTTGCCGAAAGTGTGTCTCTGCGACGCCACCTCCGTACGCACACAGGGGACAAACCGTACGAGTGTAATGTGTGCAACAAGAAGTTTGCCTTTAGTGGGGTTCTAGATAGGCATCTTCGAGTCCACACCGGAGAGAAGCCTTTCGAGTGCACCGTGTGCGACAAGAGATTCGCAGACGGCGGCGATCTCAAGAAACACCTTCGAACCCACACCGGTGAAAAGCCTTACGGGTGTACTTTGTGCAGCAAGAAATTTACCGAGAGTGGAAAACTGCGCAGTCATCTTCTAATACACACAGAAGAGAAATCGTTCAAGTGTTCTGTGTGTAACAAGAAATTTTCTCGTCGTAAAAGTCTGCAATATCATGTCCAAACCCACACAGGGGAAAAGCCGTTTAAGTGTACTGTTTGTGGAGCGAAATTTCTGTTGAGCGGTAATCTGAGAACTCACCTCCGTACCCACACAGGGGAGAAACCGTTTGAGTGTACTCTATGCAACAGGAAGTATAGGCATCAAAACACACTGAGTGCCCATCTTCGAACGCACACCGGAGAGAAGCCTTTTGAGTGTCCAGTGTGTAACAGGAAGTTTAATGTAAAAAGTTATCTTAGTAACCACCTTCTAACCCACACCGGAGATAAGCCTTATGAGTGCCCTGTGTGCGGCCTAAAGTATGCGGCCAAAGGGAATATGAATAAACATCTCCGGACCCACGCTAGAAAAAAATAACACCTGTAGCCATTTATATTGTTAGCTCACAACTTTAAATTTGTAAACGTTTTGCAAAGTTGCACTAGTGCATGGAAGTGCACCATTTCTCCCCTTCCGGATTAACATCTTGAGTTAAATGTAAAAAAAGCTGCTTGTTGATATATTTTTAGTTAAGTTTTACCTAGACGCCACTTATAAGTTGCGGTTTGTTGTTAGGTTAGCATATTTAAATACAAATAATATAAAAATTACCCTGACCGTTGGGGCGTTATACCATACCTTTTATTAATGTTGAACATCTTTATACTTCAACTTCTACTGATTGATATTTTCTGTCAGAGCTGTTTGGTTAAAGACTCACCGAGACTAGCAACGTTGTCATTTTTTTTCGACTTATAATGTTAAAATTTGATATAACCTGATTATTTTAATTTTTTTGTTGCACTTTTAAACAAATGGTGTAGAGAGTTCTGTAAATAAATTTGTTGCATTTCTCGTGACGTTCATATTATAATTTACCCTCTATAACTTATTCAAAAAGGAAGCTTCGTGAGTCGACTTCTTCACAGGGGTGTTCGAGTTCTGGTAACATATTATAGCATAGCCTCCTGCTGCCCGGGGAGGTCGAGCTGTTCGTCACACACGGTCGCTTAGCGCCGCTCTCGTCACCTGTCGCGTGACGGGCACGCGCGAACACTCTGCTCGGGGCCGTCACGACGCCAGGTTTGAGGACGCCCCCCCCCCACCTCAATCACTGCGAAAAATATCTTTTTAAATTTGCAAGACTTCTTGTATTTAACGCTTTAAAAGCGACGCGTGTCTGCAAAATTTGCGATCTCTGTCGTAAATTTACGACACCTCATGTTTCGCTCTTAATAACACCCAAGTCGATAATACGCGGTGTCTCCCTAAATTTTGCAATTTTAAAACGTAGCTTGGAAACAATTAATAACCTTATTCCCACCGCACGAAATAACATTTTCCGTTAAACCGCTAAACAAAATATTTTCACCGCAGTCTCCCAGCCGGCCGACACACACACACCCTAGTCCTATAGGCCGAGCAGCATCCATGGCATATCCGCTGCAACAAAGTAGCGCCCCCGCCCCGCCCCGCCCCGCCCCGCCCTGGCGCTGCCATATTTCAAGCCGCGATAGAGCCGTGGATCTGACCCCCCGGCGGGGCTGGCGTGGCGTCCACCAAGCGTCCTCCTGTCTGCTCGCCCCTCGCGCGCAGACACTGTCGGCGGGTCCTATCCTCTCCGCTACTCTCTATTATAGCGGACGCACGCACGACGTGCCTCATTCCTGCAAATATCACCCTGCAATTTTTTTTTTTTTTTGCTTAAAGTCTCGCTCAGATAACGCGGGAAAATTTGAAAAAAATAAAACAAAAAGAAAAAGTGTAAGAAAGTGGGTTGCTGCGCGTGAAAAGTGCGGAAAAGTGAGCGGCACTTCTCATCTCAAGCCGCGGGGGGCTTCTCCCCCTCTACCCCTCTGGGGGCCGTGACCTTTGCTTCCCCCCTCCCCTCTCCACAGGCGCCACGCGGCCCCCGCGGTCGGACCGGCAGCGTTAGACCACAACACAATTACCCCGCATTATCGGATCAAAGAGACTGACTATCCGCTTTAGGGGGGCAGGGCAGTGCATTCGATGGAGGCGAGCGGGACGCGGCGCCTCCTCCTCCTCCTCCTCCTCCCCCTCCTCCTAGTCCTCGTCGTCGTCCTCCTAGTCCTCCTCGTCGTCCTCCTCGTCCTCCTCCTCGTCCTCCTCGCCACCTCCTCCTCGCCACCTCCTCCTCCTCCTCCCCCTCCCCCTCCTCCTCCTCCTC